CCCCCATAATTTTTAAAAAATATTTTTTAATTTTTTAGATTTTATATAACATTTCATCAGAAATTATATAATACTTACAAAAACTTTTAGAAATCTTATGATATTTCATAAGCAACATATATGAAAAATTCTGAGAAAAGATGTAGATTTTCTGAGAAATGTGCCAATTCGTATAAAAAATGTGAGAAAGTTATAAAATTATAAACAAATTTTGAAAAATTATATAGAAATTCTGAAAAATTATATGAAAAATTCTGAGAAAACGGAGCGTAAATTTACGCGTCGCCACGTGCGCAAATATTACACCCAGGCATTCGCACTTTTATCAATTGGAATCCCGCGTGCGTGAGATTAAAACACGCGCATCGGACGCGTGCCACAAACAACTCGACAATTATCGCACTCGTGCAATCCGCGATGGTGAACACGAGTGTAGAATAAAACACTTGGAGCAATGCTACATCTTTCATGAACATGGCTAATGCAATTTGAGAATCTTCAATTGTCGACAAGAGCCAATAATTTTCGACTTCTTTATCCTCCCTTTTTTGGAGAATATTCGAGAAATCATTCCTTTAATTTAATTTTAATCTCGGTTCATTTAACATCTATATTCAGCTAACTCCAATTTTTTTCTAAGTCTTAGAACTGGAAAAAGATGAAGAATAAGTTGAACCGAAATTAAAATTAATCTACTTTGGTAAAAATGATCAGTCGACACAAACGTTCTATCTTTTTTTTACTCTCTAAAATTTTTAGAGTAAATCTGTTTTGACAATTGCGAAAGTACCGGATCCATGGATCCGCTGATTACGTTGAAATTCTAACGTGCAAGAGAAGTCGGAAATGTATGCGAGAATAGAGACAGAGAGATGTGCTCTATTGAATTTTATTCAGACAACTAATCTTCGCACCGATCAGAACACTAGACAAAGCCATGAATGTGTATATCGATGAGCTTTGAAGTCAACAGCTGATTAGTTGAAAAATTATCGCAGCAAATTCCGAAGGCTTCGGTAATAAATAAAAAAGCCGAATATAATTGATTTAAATCATTTAATTGAAATCGATTATCTTACTCTAATAATTAATCTGAATATAATGAGTTTCGTATACACAAATTTAATCCGAACAAAATCTCACTCTTAAAGATTGAAAATTGAGTCACTCTTTTTCATGACTGGCTCAATTTTCTGCACTCTAGAGATTTCACTCAAACTAATTTAGAGAGTAACATTCAATAAATACCGAAAATAAAACGACTGTATCTCTTAAAAGGGAAGTAGCTTATATGTAAAATTTTTTTCAGTGAAAGAAGATTGTTAGGCACGTACACTTTGTTCATCAAAAGCGTTACCGACATAATTTTTATATAAATTATTTATTTACTTTTACACTATTTATATACCAAAAAGATGAAGAATTAATTGAATTGTGAGATTAAAATTAAATTATATTAATAAAAACGAGCGTAAAAAGTTGTAAACAAGTGGAAAAAACGGTGTGAAACAACAAATATCTGTCGGACTATGATAAGACGAAAAATATATTGAAAATGATATCGATCACGTTTTAATTGAACAGACTATTATGAAACTGAAATGGGATATCAATTGGAATTATTTCGTTTTTCCCAGAAAATACAACAGAAATGTAGGTAATAAGTATAAATCGAATAATTTTGATCAGAAAATTCATTTCAAATAATTTCAAAGTAATATATGCTCTATTGGGAATTAAATATTTCGAGAAGATAACTGCGGAACAAACGAGATGCGAGAGGAAAATAGAAAGAGGAAAAGATCGTTGGAATAATTGAATAGCGGACTCATTGTCTCGCTTGTCTCGCTTGCCACATATCACTGTTGTGTAATAGTTTAATTTCCTGAACGACGGCGCGTCGAATGGAGCGACTTACGTCATCGGGTTCTCCCCTTTTTTTTTCATTCGTCTACAGCTACAGCGTTCGGCATTTCGAATGCATGTTCCAATCCTAGTCATCGAAATAATTACCATGTCTGTTCAATAGTCTGTTCAATAGATCTCTATTGACGAATTAGAAATTAAAAAATTTTATTTATAAGAATTAAAAATTTTTGAAATTTTACAATTATTAAGTATTTTATAATCATTCGACTTTTATTTCAAACATTTTTTTCTATTTCTTACAGTTTCGATATTCGCTTTTATAAGGAACAAAATCAATTTTCTTCAAAGGGGTGTTTCACTCCCTAAAAGTGCATATACAAAAAAAATATGTATCTCTTATTTTAATCTAGAGTTTAACGTATTACGAGCTCATCAAAATCAGAGGGAGACATTTCCGTGGGTTTCCTTGTTGGATGTATAGATCATTGATTCTTCACATCATTCTTTGTCTTGTTATCTTTATTTCGTAAACTTATGTCGATATTGTAAATGCGATATTCTCATCGTTTCCTTTAAGGATGATCGATCAAACTCCGGTTATCTCAATCGATGATTAACTTATAATAAATAATATTCTTAATAACAAATAGTATCTGTGTTATTTCGTTAATACGGATGAATTAATATTTTTTTTTGTTTAACATACGGAAAAATTATTAATAATTATGTAAAATAATTAATTAGAGTCGATAAATTAGAGCTCTATATCGGTCGAAACTAGATCTTAAATGCTTAAATAATTCAATCTTGAATCACTAAATATGATATATATGTACTTGACATATATACCACATTTGTAATCTAACGAACTGCGCGTAATATTTTTTGCAATAAATTTAATTACAGTTTTTTCAGCATATTAACATCTTTGAAATATGATGCCTGTTTGAGCATCGAAATTATTAGAATTTAATTTAATTCGCGAAATTACTACAGTGGTTTAATTGTGTTTAGTCCGGAAATATTTCGGCGCGCAGTTCGCTAGACTACAAGTGTGGTATATATAATGTCAAGTACATATATATCATATTTAGTGATTCAAAATTGAATTATTTAAGCATGTATAAGATCTAACTTCGACCGATATAAGGCTCTAATTTATCGATTGTGTTTCTCACATATATGGTCTAAAAATGAGATTATTATTAATTAATTAGAAATTTTGTTTTTGATTCTATCGATAGAATTAATTGTCAATTAAGTTAATCCAAAGTTTAGTCGCCTTGAACTTTAAAAAGCTTTTAATTAATTGTACATTAATTGAAACATTTTAATTAATTGTATTTCAAAGAATTCTGTTGAACTTAAATTAAACTAATTAAATTAATTCAAGTGGATGCGACTTGCACTCATGTTTTCATATCATTCACAAAGGAATGATGAAGAATCAGGTTACATGCACGTGCAACGAATACTTATTGCACTTATCCTTATTAATTTGCTTTGTGTGGTACACTCGTGGCTTTAATGACTAATTCTGTTTGTTATCGATTTTTACGTAATAAAATAGCCTCATAATTTACAAACTTTCTAATTTTCAAAACATTTCTTAGTCACAAATTAAAATTTTATTAAATTTCTTACTAAAAGTTAATTGAAAAATAGATTTATTATTAGCTATTCATTTTCTTGAAACTAAAAATCTTTTTTATTTTAAATGCTTATAATAGAAATATTAGTATTTCTGCTATTATAACACAAATCGAATTTATCATTGTTGAATTTATTGTTAAAGTTAAGTTTGTAAGCTTTATGGCTTACATACAAACTTACTATCTCATAATAAAGAGCAAAAGAAAAAGTTAAAGTGTTGCGACAAAGATTAATATTTCGGTTGCAATTTCTGTTTTAGGATGCTAATCTAACATGGTACACGAATAACCCAGATCTAACAGAATGCTTTCAAAAGACGATATTAGTATGGGTACCGTGCATATTTTTATGGACGTTCTCAGCGATGGAAGCATATTACCTTTTAAATAGCAAAAGAAGAAACGTCCCGTACACGTGGTTATTTATTTCTAAGCAAGTACTTACTGTAGGATTAATTTTACTTTCCATAGTTGACTTAGGAGTGGCGATACATGAAAGTACTTTTCGTACGGTCTACAATGTTGATTATTACACACCTATAGTAAAAATTGTTAGCTTTGTAAGTACAAATTATTTTTTATATTAATAGATTTTTAAATAGATTTTAAAATTATTTTTGCATTAATTTTTTAACAATATTCTCATTACTTGTTCTTGCTTTTTTTTTATAAAATAAAAGTGAGAACGAAGATTTTTTTATTCATCATAATGGGAAAAAAGTAATCATATTCACTAGCCATATAAATTCTCTATATAACATTTAATTAAATTTGCTAATTATTTCAGATGTTAGCATCGGCTTTGATGCAATATAATAGAAAACATGGAATGCGGACGTCAGGTCTTTTATTCTTGTTTTGGTTTTTCCTTGCGATATGTGGATGCGTCCAATACAGAAGCTTTGTAAACAAATTCATTAAAGGGGTATGTTAAATTTTTCATTTTAATAAAGGAAAACAATTTAGTGTAGATACATTTATGAACTGCATTTCCTGCATCGGATTTTTACAATTTCTTATCACATTATCTCGTGTTATCAGTCTGTTATATTGTTTCACAAAGAAGCTGCTGATTGTGTATTACGTAATACAATGCGATTCATGAAGAAATAACTTATTTTTAGGCAGAGCCGACATACCCACTGGTGTCTTACATGATCTACTATCCAATAGTAGTGATATTATTTGTACTTAATTTTCTGGTCGATGCAGAGCCTAAATTTTCTGAATATCCTACGGTAATCTTTCTGCTATTAGTTGTATAATGTACAGGACACAGAAATATGCAAAATCTTACAATCAACTGTAAAATTTAGAATTGATGAATAATTTGATAAATAATTTTGAAATATGTTCACTCATAGGTTGAATCGCCATGTCCAGAACAAAGCTCTTCTTTTCCTTCAAGAATTATGTTCGCGTGGTTTGATTCGTTAGCATGGAAAGGTTTCCGAAAACCACTCGAGACGTCCGATCTGTGGTCTATGAATCCAGAGGATATGGCCACGGAGATTGTGCCAAAATTTGACAAATATTGGAATAAGAACTTGAGAAAGACAGACGAGTAAGTTTAATCGATGAATCTCTCGTACAAATCAAGATTACTTGTAATCAATATGACTCAGCTAAGATTCTTTAAAGCGTTTATTTGTGAGAAAAATAGTGAGGAAAAAATATAAGATAAATAATTTTATATTAATAATAGCAAAATATAGAATTTATATTTTATATTAATATTAATATAGAGTGTGTAGATTCAATAGAAAATATGTATTAAACATATATTTATAAAAAATTATAAGTTGCTGATGTATATCTATAAAATTATTATTTTAAGAATTCTTTAAAAATCAGTTTGTTCGTGATAATACATTTTTAGAATGTTACTTCATTATCTTATCTGCACTATAACTAACAGCATATTATTTGCATATTTTAAAAATATATCATAAATATTAATATGTATTAGTGTAATGTTTTCTGACAAACTATTTTTTAACACATTCATACATTTCTTGTGCTAACAAGGCTGATTTGGACATACTTTAGGTAGGATGTGTCGTATAACATGTCTTAATTATTTTTATCATCCAATCTAATAATAGAAACCTTTATAACAGACGTTCTTTATACATATAGAGTAGAAAGTGTAAAAGTGTCATACCGACAAACGTCTGGACAAGTGGACTTTAACGGTAGTCGGAAAAAGAAAGTCGCCTCCATCTTACCGCCTATCTGCAAAGCTTTCGGAGCAACATTCATGTTTGGTGCATTTCTAAAACTGATTCAAGATATTATGACTTTTATTAGTCCACAAATATTAAAGTAAGTATTCACACATCCTGAGTTTTATCTCTAATTTTATTTTATAATTTATGAAGAAAATATAATGAATCGACGAATTTTACGAAATTGTTTTCAAAATTTAATTGTTTTTGTTTGTCTAACGCATTTTTGTAAAATGCCCCTCTTTTTTTTCATATTTTTTAGGCTTCTGATTGATTTTATCGAAGGAGATGAGCCAATGTGGAAAGGATACTTTTATTCTGTCCTGCTTTTACTTACGGCAATGCTTCAGACACTAGTACTGTCCCAATATTTTCACCGCATGTTCTTGGTCGGGCTGCGTATACGAACCGCGCTAATCGCAGCAATTTATCGTAAAGCATTGAGAATGTCGAACGCGGCGAGGAAAGAGTCCACACTCGGCGAGATAGTGAATCTAATGTCCGTAGACGCTCAAAGATTTATGGATCTAACTGCGTACATAAACATGATCTGGTCAGCACCTCTGCAAATAGTTCTAGCTTTATATTTTCTCTGGAACATACTGGGGCCGGCTGTATTGGCAGGTTTAGCAGTTATGATCATTCTTATTCCTGTGAACGCATTAATTGCCAACAAAGTGAAGACGTTACAAATCAGACAGATGAAGAGCAAGGACGAGAGAGTAAAATTAATGAACGAAGTACTTAACGGTATCAAAGTGTTGAAGCTCTATGCGTGGGAACCTTCATTCGAGCAGCAGATACTTAAAATCAGAGTCAAAGAGATTCAAGTATTAAAAGAAGCGGCATATCTTAACGCTGGCACGAGCTTTATATGGTCGTGTGCGCCCTTTTTGGTACGTTTTTTTTGGTACACAATGAATTATAATATACAACACAAACATGTACAAAAAAGCGACTTACATCACAATTGAAAATCTCGAAAATACATATCTTATGGAGTACTTGTAATGCAAAAACTTTTTTCTTATTTTTCATTTTTTTATAGTAGTCATAATTTTTAGCGTGATTTTTTTAAAAGTTTTACTGTATGATCTCAAAAAAATTTTGTTAAACATATGCCAAAACATGAACTATAGCAATAAATATTTCTTCCTTTCCGAGAGATTTTTGATTACTTGTATTAAAAAATATCTTTTGTATTTTTAAAAATATTGTCTTTTCGCAAATGTGCAGGTATCTTTGGTATCTTTTACAACTTACGTACTTATAGACGAAAAGAACGTCCTAAATAGTACAATTGCCTTTGTTTCACTCAGTTTGTTTAACATCCTAAGATTTCCACTGTCTATGCTGCCTATGATGATTACTAATATAGTTCAAGTAAGTTTAAGTAATGTATAGACATAATTGTGCTGTTTTTATTTATTCATTTTTATTCATGTTTTAATATTGAGAATAATTCCATGTACAGGCTTACGTCTCTGTAAAACGAATTAATAAATTTATGAACATGGAAGAACTGGATCCTAACAATGTACAGCATGATCCATCGGAACGTGAGTGTAAAATTTTCTCTTTTAAATATGTTTAATACGATGTATATAATATGTTTATACATTTTTTAGCGCACGCGTTAGTAATTGAGAACGGTACTTTTTGTTGGGATAGCGAAGAAATCGAGAGACCAATACTACGAAATATCAATTTGCATGTAGAACAAGGTCAATTAGTAGCAATAGTTGGTACAGTGGGATCAGGCAAGAGTTCTCTTCTATCCGCTCTGCTTGGTGAGATGGATAAAATAAGCGGGAAAGTAAATACAAAAGTGAGTATTCTTTTCGAATCAGAAATACAAAGTATAGAAATAAAACATATTTTTTTATAACAAACGTAACAATAAAACAGCAAAATAAATCTCACATGTTACATTTATATGGAGCAGTCTTATTGAGAGAGGATTAAGAATAATTAATAATGTAACTTAATAATATATTTTTTAATTTTGAATGCTAAATTTTATTATATATATATATATATATGCTTTTATTATCTGAAAATATAAACCAAGACTATAACTCTTAATTCAATGTTGATAAAAACGAAAAATAATATATTTTATTTTTACACGTCTTAGATTAAGTACATAAAGATTGGGATTTGAAGATTGATACTAAATACTTCTTTTAGGGGTCAATTGCATATGTCTCGCAACAAGCGTGGATACAAAATGCCACGTTGCAGGACAACGTTTTGTTCGGAAAGGCCTTGAACAAATCAGTATATAATTGTGTGATTGAAGCGTGTGCGTTAACTCCGGACTTTAAGATGCTACCCGCGGGAGATCAAACAGAGATTGGGGAGAAAGGCATAAATTTATCCGGCGGTCAAAAGCAAAGAGTAGCCTTAGCTAGAGCTGTATATAACGATTCCGAAAATTATTTCTTAGATGATCCTCTGAGCGCGGTGGATTCGCACGTAGGAAAACACATTTTTGAGAAAGTGTTAGGTCCGAATGGCCTGTTGAAAAATAAAAGTAGAGTACTTGTTACTCATAGCATCACGTACCTGCCGGAGGTCGACAACATTATTGTTCTTAAAGACGGCGAGATAACGGAGAGTGGAACCTATAAACAATTGCTGGAGAAGAAAGGTGCTTTCGCCGAATTCTTAGTGCAACACTTACAAGAAGGTATCTATTATATGTAATTAAATTCTTACTACGTATTTTTATATACTTATTATAAAATTTGTTGTTACATTTTTCCTGGATTTAAGTTGGAAATCGTAAGTCCGCGAAAAAGTAATTACATTTCCTTTTCCTACTTTGTATGCTTGCATAAGAAATACTCCCTTATCACTAGAGTGTTAGGATGAATTTTTAATTTTTAGTTTTTAATACTATTATTATTAACACTATTACATTTAATATTATCTAGTTTTTAATATCGTATTTTACTTCTAGTTCAATTCCAATAACTTATTTACATAATTCTCGTTTGAATTCTCATTTTATGCTATAGTTAAGAGTATGTGCATGTGCGAGTTTTTTTTAATTTCTTCCCATTTTTATAACATCATTAATATCTTACGTGAATGATAAATCATTATTTTAAAATCATGACAAATTTGGAACAGTGCACGTTGATGACGGTTCTGAAGCAGATTTACGTGAAATTAAACAGCAACTTGAATCAACAATGGGAGCAGACGAGTTGCAACAAAAATTAACTCGAGTACGGTCTAGAATATCTGAGAGTCTAAGTGAATCCGGTTCTGTGACCGATAAAAAATCACTCAATGGTTCTCTTACAAGGTATAATCTCATAAATATAATATTTAATTAATGGTGATGCAAGTGATAGCTCGCTACTAACTCGAAATAATATACATGTACAAATAGGCAATACTCGACAGAAAGTCAACAGTCAGCAAATTACATGCATAGCAATAGTGTTAATGTATCAAAGGAGAAAGATACACCAAAGCCTAACAACGTCGGCGAGAAACTGACAGAAATCGAGAAGGCTGAAACTGGAAGCGTAAGTTGCACGAGATATCACTGCTAATTTGCTTTTCACGACAGAAAGTTTCAAGTGCTTTTATTCTCATCTTGTTATTCTTTCGCAAGGTAAAATGGAAAGTGTACTCTCACTACTTGAAATCCATTGGATGGTTCCTATCGATATCGACAATCGTGATGAACGCGGTCTTTCAATCGTTCAGCATCGGCTCGAGCGTTTGGCTCAGTATATGGTCGAACGATAATCAGACCGTTGGGAACCACACGTTCGATACGGCAAAGCGAGACATGTATCTCGGCGTTTACGGTGCGCTCGGTTTTGGTCAAGGTACGTTTCTGTTAATTCTTGTAACACATTGGCCCGTTGTCAGGTAGATTCGATCAGTATTGTTAAAATTTCGCGTTTACGATGGATGATCAGGTAAGCTTATCCCTGTCGCTGCTACGTGTACTTGTATAAATATACATATCATTTTTCTACCGCAGAAGGCAATTACTTCATTTAATACAACGTTAACAGGCAATGGCACTTAATTTTGCTCGTCATAGCATATCGTAATTTGAAAGGCATGTTCCCTCACAGATTACACATCATTGGGGTATAATTAATCTTAACGTAATTCTTTCATGTCTAAAACTCGATATTGAGCCGAGTTATAATAATTTAAAAATCATGACTACTAATGTAGTGACCTTTTCATTTCGATAACGTTATAAGTTTATGTCTGCAAATATATACATCACATATACGCGTTAATACCAAAAATAAATAAAAAAAATTTCCTTTCAAAAAATCAAACTGAGTGTGGTTTGCTGTGTCTACAAAATACTAACGTTACTAACTAAACATTCAAAAGCAATTAGAGATTGAAACTTTTTGATAGCCATATGTTTTTGATTGCAAGTGTCGTAGTAATCATTTTCTACAAATGATCGCTTTTTTAGTATTGCATGAAACATTTTTCTGTTTGAAATGTCTTTTGTTCAGTACAATTTGCATTTTTTATTAAATAATTTATTAATCTTTATTATGATTACCCTTTTTACAAGCAAAAATTTAGTGATTATAGATAAAAAGTAATAGATGGAAAAAGTATTACATATTTATATAAGATATTATAATGAATGTTATGTGTTTGTATATAATTCTTTTGTAATTTTTTTATGATCTTGTGATCTTTTGTGATCATGGTGCGATCCATTAAAAATTTGTTTGGTGTCGTTTACTAACCTTATTCGAGTAATATTTGTCAGATGAATTAATCAGATGGATAAATCACATAACATCTATTATTTTATATTTAAAGTTTATTGTAGAAAACAAAAATATTTTTTTAAAATAATAACACGCTTTTACATTTAATGGTAAGCACGAAGTAGAGAAACAAAAGAAAGCTTTCTAGCATTAATATCTTAAAATAATAAAAAAAGAACGGAAAATCAGTCTGTGCTACATTGAATAATCGATGGTATAATTATACATCTAATATGCCTAGGAAATTTTAATTAAAATTTGAATTATAAAATGAATGTAAATCGTTTAACTAAATGAATATAAAAATTAATTAATGTTAACTAATGTAAAAATCATTTAATTAAATACGTGATAACTTGAAATTTCGAAAAATGATATTTTACTGATTTTCTTATCAGATAATTGCGTGTAAATTGAAATGAATGAGAGTAATAATATGTTAATATGTTAATTTAGAGGAATTTAAGCAAGCTTCGGACGAAGGAAGATTCGAGACATTCCTCATTCAATCATTATGTTTGTTTCTTTAATTTGGCTAAAGTTTTTATTGATGAAATGTATCGCCTGAATTTTTATTATATTTAAAAACACATTGACACGCTTAGCATTAAATGTGGTCGAATTCCTTGCTTAGATTATGTAATGTGCAAAGTATAATAATGACAATTAACGTGGTTAATGAAATTTAATTTGAGAATGGAACGGTACTAAATTTAATATCTCAATGTTGATGTAATACATAAATGCGTGAGATTGCAATCACATTTAATGCTAAATATATAATGAAAATGCGAGCCGTAGTATTTCGCATGTACGATTTTTCTTCATCTTGGACCACAATAGTCTAACCAGTTTCGCATTCTGTTTTATTATTAACTTATTGTTACCGCTAATAACTAACGCCAACTATGTTATGTTACATGACTAAGTAAACTGACAAAGACACATTGTTCTTGTTAAGGCCCTATGTAAAGGCAGTTTTTCGTGGTATCGAAATTTAACAGTGTGCAGTTACGTACATTAGCAAGTCAATTTGAACATTAACATTACAAAGCAACAGGTTTTTTTGTAGAACTGCAAGCGAGTAGTGTCGAAAAAAGATTTTTTTCCTTCAACAAGACTATTTATTTACTTTAAATTAAATTTCAGCCACTTTTGTAATGCTGTCGCAGACAGCGTTGATTATCGGCTGCCTACGGAGCAGTAAACTACTGCATTCCGAGTTATTATTCACCATGCTACGATCACCTTTAGGATTCTTTGACACTACGCCGTCCGGCAGAATATTAAACCGTTTTGGGAAGGATATTGACACAATAGACAACATTTTACCTCCAAGTATTAGGGCTTGGTTGTTTTGTCTAGCATCGGTATGCGAGAGTTTTAGTTTTAATCGCTGTATATCACTACACGAATCAATGTTTAGCAGAACCACTGGTCCACCAATCGGTACAAATATGATTTATTATGTAATAATGAGAGCTTTCTAATTTTTTCTATTCTTCATTAATGTCCATTAATGATCAGTAGACGACTATCAGAAGCGTACGTTGTTAATAAACCAATGTTTTTGCATGCCTGATGAGACACTATGGATGTCTTCTTTCTCAGTACAATCATACAAAGTATCATCTTTATCACTTATTTTATCTTAGCATTGTTACCGCGCTCCCATTTTTCTCTCCGTATATTTATTATTTGTACTTACATTTATTGCTTTTTTAATTATGTGCACCTCAATTTATGTGTGACTGCAGTGAGGAACTTGCATATGAACGTTTAGATGAAATCAGGTGATGAGCAACTGATGAAAATGAACATTGCCGATCGTAGAGCCTTTAAATAATTCACTTACTTGCAAAAGCTCGCTATATTTGATAATTCGCGGACGCAAAAATGTTTAATATGTAAAAATGTCTAATTTTTTTAATCCGATAAATCAAAGTTGATTACCGATCGTTGTAGGCGTGACAGTATTCGCAATGACGATATTCCTGGCTAAAGGGACGATAATCGCTTCTAAGCGTATCTTCGAGGGTACGCTGCAACACGTTCTTCACAACCCAATGTCATTCTTTGACAGAACTCCATCTGGCCGAATTCTTAGTCGGCTTGGTAAAGATATTGATATTATTGACAATATCCTACCGGTTTATCTGCGTTCTTGGATCACTTGCCTCTTTTCGGTATGATATTCTCATATAACTACATACTACTGTATAAGTAATGATCTCTGTGACAGTTGATGTGGATTTAATATTACTACGTCTCTTATTTGTCGAGCGATACTTGTTACAGATATCGATATCCTCACTCCTTTTTTAGTATATATATTTAAATTTGCTTGGAATTGACATCTTGCACGAAATATTTTTGTTATTTTCTATTGTACTGATAAGTAATTTACGTTCCATCAGTAATTTATATATCAGTTTTTATATTAATTGACGTTGATTTTATATCAGAATTACTAGAAACGATAGATTTACAATTGCGAAGTAAAAAAGTACCTTTTTTCTTTCTACCGATAAAATCGCACATTTATACGTAATTATCTTGCATATTTGAATATATAAAGACACATAAAGTGAATTATATTTATTTATGACAGAGTAAAAAAGATGCGGATTTATCTTAGTAGAAATGTACATTCTGTCAGAATTTGGATCTGTCTGTTCACCGGAAATTTGAATGTAACATTATTTGAATAATAAAGTTTGGAATTTTAGAAGAAATGGCGAAATGTAATAACGTAATGCTAGCCTGCCGGCTAAGCGTATATGGGCACGGGTACGCTACTTGATGCGTGTAAGAAGTGGCCGGCAATCAGTACAGCATGGTGGATCGACAAGCTTTGAAAGGACACGAAGGAACATATGGTAAGAAATATCTACCTCGATGCTGCTTGCCTGGCTCGAACAGCATTCGAGCGGCTTACCCGTGCGTTTTGTGCATTCAGCCGGCCAGGTAACAGTCACACATTTCGAATGGCTGCTTTCTTCTTCAGTTCAATTTTTCTCTAAATTTGTCAAAAGATACGTTTCTGTTAATCCGTTTTTTTTTTTTAAATATATGCTATCTGAAACAAAATATTGATGGGACATTAAAAAAAAAGATGTATGGAATTGATCGACAAGTTCTTATTCCGGTGGTTTATTAGAAACTGAAAATATAACTGAAAAGATACATGCAAAGTCATATCAACGAATCATACCTTTTCTGTAATGTTAAATAGCTCGCTGAGCAGCTTATTTTTGGGTTTTATTTTGAGTCACGAAAGAGTGACGTGGTTCATGGGAATGCTTGTGCTGGATTTTACATTGTGCCATCCAATCGTATTGCATAATATCATAAAATTCATTGATTGAGCGTTGATTACGGTGTATGTCAATTGTTTTAGCTATTTTTTAGGAATAAAATGTGGTAGGATATCTCTTTGTTCGTCCTTTTCAGAAAATGTTACGTTGACGATGTTCATTTTCGTTTATTGTCAATGTATGTGTTTAGATCTGATGAGTTGGAGACGCTAAAAAATGGCGATTGTCTTAATTTTTCACAAAATACTTTAATATCGCTCAAGACGGAACTTGACTTTGTCAAATCATTATCATTCCTACATCACTTACTCTACAATTGTTCTCCTTTTACATTTATATTGAATTCTTTTCACATTATGTGTTTTTTTAGTTATTGTTTTTTATGTTGTTACAAACTTTTTTATTTAAGAACATTATTGTTAATTTGAACTTCACGACTGCCGTCGTGATAATTTGTACAACTATTGTATATAAATCATAGTGCAACCATAGTGTAGTAATCATTCAGGGAATGGACACAATTATACCAGTAATATTCAGTGTACAAAAATGGTCTTGCTTGTGCTTGATAACGCTTTTTATTCTATTGCTTGTATAACATCCACCTAATTACGATTCTGCCTTCTAGGAAGTGTGATTTATTTGTATTTCCTGTTGCTATATTATATCCTGTCTGATATGTCACACAGCAAACTTCACATCTTCGCATAACATGAAGTCAGAGCGGTAGTTTAAGTTCGCGATATTTGCCAAATGCATTTGAGTATCGAGCAGCATTACGACAGAAAAGAAAAAAATTAATTGTTTACAGATATCATTTGGAATTTCGGTAAACGTACCGTGTTGAAAAGAAAAACAAATGTTTAAGTCTAATATCAAAAACTATATGTTTACGTGTCTCGTTTAACATGCAATACATTGTTTATGAGATAAGTTTTTGTTAATTTTTTTGTTTATTATCGTTCTGTTCTGTTTTTCACAAATCGCGCAAACTATATCAGATGCGGTTACAATGAAAGTCATCCATGTCTGATGTTGTAGCGGTGGCGAGCTTTTTCTGCGATTTGGCACCGCAGCTGGGCTGTTGGTTGGCTGCTCGCCAGATGCACATAGTGATGCTGCGTGCTGTGATGCGTGCCCCATTGACCTTCTTTGATACGACTCCTATTGGTCGTATTATCTCCAGGTTTGCTAAAGACGTGGACGTCCTGGATACATCTCTTCCCCCACAAATTTCTGATACCATCTATTGCTTGTTTGAGGTAATTTCTTTCGTAGCGTGCTGAGAGAGAATACCAGCTAGGAATCTCTTATTGCTTTTCCTTTATCTTCTCGACCTCGCAGTTTGAGTTCCACACGTATACCATCACTTTCCACCGGAGAACTTTGATTAAACTGCGATTAGATATCATTGTCATCCTTGGATATAATTTGTATTTATTAAGAGGTGTCTGAATAATGGTGGTATGGTATATTATTGTACTTTAGATGGGTATAATTCCCGTCTATAGCTTTGCAAACTAGTTTTGAGAATACATTTGGAACACAATTAAATGTATAGAGTCCGCCACCGAGTATAATTGTGTCCGTTCTCGTAAAACAACTGCAGTCTATGAATTACTCTATCTGTATCGAAATAAAGGGTATTTTAGCAGTATCAGGTTTGACCAAGAGAGACTTAAATATGCCTTGACGCTAATGCTTATATGTACTTGTCTAATGTATATATGTGAGAATCATATTCATGGTACATGTTGGTGGGCCTATGAAACAACGACCAGCGCTGGCTTTGTTTTTGTTTTTGTATGAACAACTGCTGTCCGGAAAAGATATGAGAGCGTTTCATTCAATAAAATTTCTGCATGAGATATTATCAGTTTCTTTTTTATTTATATCCTTGTGAAGCTGATTCGTTCGATCAATTTTGCATTTATTATTTATATACATTTTTTTGTCACGCAGATGTTTCTTCTTGCTCTGACTAATTTATATTTGCATACAATACTAACATTTTTCTATCTTGTAAGATGAAGCAGAATATTTTTCAGTGTTATTAATAGCTGTATGCATTTTGCAGGTGATAGCCACTCTCTTTGTTATAAGCTACAGTACACCTATATTTGTCGCGGTGATACTGCCAATAGGCGCGATTTATTATTTTATTCAACGTTTTTACGTTGCAACATCGCGTCAATTAAAACGATTAGAATCCGTGTCGAGATCTCCTATATATTCGCATTTTAGTGAATCTGTGACTGGTACGTATTTAAAACTGTATATATGCTGTAATATTTTATTTATTAACAAAAATTTACATTTCTAAAAATAATCTATTATTTATATATAGGTGCGCAAATAATTAGAGCGTACGGCGTGCAAGAACAATTTATCCATGAATCTGAAAATAGAGTAGATTTTAATCAAGTGTGTTACTTTCCTAGCATTATTGCAAACAGGTAAATAGTCGTATGACGTAATTGCAATTTCTTTTATACATAATTATTAACTAGAACGCATATGTTGCAGATGGCTGGCCGTGAGATTGGAGATGGTTGGAAACTTAATTATATTCTTCGCAGCTTTGTTCGCTGTTTTAGGTAGAGATACCATGAGTTCAGGTCTCGTTGGTCTATCGGTCAGCTATGCCTTACAAGTAAGATATATTTTCCATAAAAACGACATTTTAGCGTTATATACAATGTGATGTTTTCTACCATGTTAAATAGAATGTTTCTCTGTGATAAAGCTAAGTTAAAATATTAAAAGTGCTTAAAGCGGGTTACACGCGGGTGATGTTTATATATTTATTTGATACTTTATGAAAGAACTGTATGTATTTCATGTATGAGAATTCACGTTATGTTTGTTATAGATCACCCAGACCTTAAATTGGCTGGTGCGCATGACGTCTGACGTCGAGACTAACATCGTCGCGGTAGAGAGAATAAAGGAGTATAGCGAAACCGCGCAAGAAGCACCGTGGAAGAACACTGAATTTACGCCTTCGAAAGAGTGGCCTAAACACGGTCGCGTTGACTTCAAGGACTTCAAAGTTCGCTATAGGGAGGGATTGGAACTCGTGCTGAATGGTTTGACGTTCAGCGTTCTCGGCGGCGAGAAGATCGGCATAGTAGGCAGAACCGGTGCCGGAAAGTCGTCCATGACATTGGCGCTTTTCAGAATAATTGAGGCAGCACAGGGGAAGATTTTGATCGATGATATCGATATTTCCAAGCTGGGTCTTCACGACCTGCGCTCGAGATTGACCATCATTCCTCAGGATCCCGTATTATTCTCCGGAACACTAAGGATGAATCTGGATCCTTTTGATTGCTACAACGACGAGGAAGTTTGGAAGGCGTTGGAGCACGCTCATCTGAAATTATTTGTAGAAAGTATGAACGGTCTTTGTGACCTTCCGTTAGAAAATCTTTTACTTTTGAAGAATATAATCTATTTATTATCGTCTTTCAGATTTGCCACACAGTCTTTTACACGAGGTTACTGAAGGCGGAGAGAATTTAAGCGTAGGACAACGACAATTGATCTGTTTAGCAAGAGCATTACTTAGGAAAACGAAAGTTCTTATATTGGATGAAGCAACAGCTGCAGTTGATTTAGAAACGGACGATTTAATTCAGACTACCATTCGCCAAGAATTTAAGAATTGTACAGTTCTCACAATAGCCCACAGGCTCAACACTATTTTAGATTCTGACAGGTATATTTCAAGTTATTTTTACATAATTATATTTCGTGAGTATTTGTAGTGTGTGTGTGTGTGTGTGTGTGCGTGCGTGCGTGCGTGCGTGCGTGCGTGCGCGTGCGCGTGTGCGTGTGTGTGTGTACACTACAATTATATTATTTTATTTGAAGCATTTTACAATATCTGTATTTATGAGAATTTATTCATTATTCCAGTTTTCTTTTCTAATTGTTTTAAGTATTTTGTTTATTTTCAAAACTATTTATTTTCAATTTATTTTCAAACAATAATAATGTTTCAGGGTAATCGTATTGGACAAAGGTCTGATCGTCGAATATGATTCTCCGGAAGTGCTTCTTAGCAATTCATCTAGCTCTTTCTACAGTATGGCTAAGGACGCAGGTCTAGCTGCTTAAGAAAAAAAAAGAATTCATATCACATAATCATTTTTTAGCGGCTGTACGTTATTCGTGAGCCAGATGAGGTAAACGACACAAAGAAAGCCATAGGTCAAAAAAACGCGTAGCCTCAGCATAGATTAATTTGTATAGTGAAATATTTCTATGCAAAAGAAGCGAGAACGTTTAACGTAATCGACGGTGCAAAAACTCTTGTCTCAGCATTGTTGTTGCCAGATTTTATTCGATGACTTTCCGATTGTACCGTCGATTACCGAACTTCGTATATTCTAGAATAAGTTTTGTAGTGAAGTCTCTCTTCACGAAGCAAGCAATGCGACACTTTTAAACTAGCGTCGATATCCAATATCTAACTTTAACTGGGTAATCAGGTGGATTCCTATCTGATCAATATGTTATAACCAATGAATTAATTTTCTCGATGCACTTTACATTATATTCCTCTAAAAAAATTTATCTTTATAATTTTATAATAAAATTAACGCACTTAATTACAATTTTATCACATTTCTAGAGTAACAATATTTGATTAATATATTAAGGGTCGACACGAGTAACGAGCCAATTTACATACACTTCATTTGCAATGTATACATTTTGCACTCTATCATATATTGTAACATAGAAGAAATATTTTGCAATGAAACTTATTTTTCATTTATTTTTTACGAAGCCTGATAAGAGCAGGAGTTTGCAATTTCATTCTTAAAAGTATTATAATAAATAAAATGCTAGCAGTGGAGATACATGTCTCCATGCTGACATTTTATTTTCTAGAAGTAATATTACGTCATGAAATCTTTTCAACTTCTTTTTTATGGAGCTAAGAAGGCGCGTATAGAGCTGGATTTTGTTATTTGGTTTTTAAAACATAATAGATAAATCAATAAATAAAAGTAGGGCTACGAGCCAGTTACAATATAAAGAATATTTAATAATCGTACAAACGTTTCGATGCCGATCCATAACGTCACCTGACATCGTCGAGGATACGTGTGTTCTCTCCAATATATCGTATCATGGCTTACCTTTTATTATATATGACTTACTTAATTTTGCGTTTTTCTCTCAACGTCTGACTCATATCATTACGACAAATCAAGATTGTAGATTTTTGAAAAGTGAGATGAGATCACTTTTACATCAGTCAACTGATGCTAGTTTTGCATATGGACCGCACATATCTAATAATAGAGAATACGGAAATAACCGACGTGTTTTACTGGATATTATAATCTGACCGAATATTCCGACAATTTATGTAATATTTTAAATTAAGAAGCGCCATAACGGCCAGAACGTTAAAGGCAGGTTCCCGTTCAAAGGCCCCAAAAATGCCTTAATTTCAGGAATTTTTTTTTTATACAAAATAAATTATTTTGGGAAAAATTTTGCGGGTTTTATTTATATACAAAAAAAGTATATTGTGTAATTTAAAAAAAAAAAA